TTTGTACATGCATGACGACTGTTGCTGGTGCTGTCTACGTATTAGCTCCATGCAACTGGCGCATGTCGTGCGAATATAAGGCATTGCGCCTGTGTCACTTCATTTTTATTTATAGCCTTATGCCTTACCCTTATACTTATAACTACTTTCACCTTGAACTGGCGCCATACGTCGCGTCGGAGTACAACGCATGCATCCGGATGCGAGCGAGCGCGAGGCTATGTGGATCGTTTTAATACCAAAACCCCGAGCCTGCCGTAGAGTAACTGAAGCTGGCTTTTCAGGCTTTTCACTGAAACACTAAAGGTTCACCTTCGGTTGTCCGTTGACATATTCCCCTAAACAGCGGATGAAATTGAAAAGGTCGTTTATCAAGCATATGCTATGCTGCCTGAGTCAATTTGTATCTACATTATGCAGCCTCATGCGCGGAAATGAACTCATCTGAATTACTCGTTTTCTTTGCCAGCAGCAGATAGACTGACCTATCATACGCTTTTAGCCCTGATCTCGACGTGACATGCTGTGCTCCGAGCGTGCTTCTTTTCCGAACGTACTACTCGTCTACCCCCAGCAATGCCCAAGGCAGGCTCTGTCTCCAGCCAACCACGCATCGAGAAAATGCTCCGCTCGCATATACGTTTCAACCAGAACACATGCATCACAATATGAGCATGCTTACTTGTGAGCCAGTGCCCATGTTGTTGTTGTTGTTGTTGTTGTTGTTGTTACATGGTCGTGGGTGCGTTCCCCGTACCTGCAAACCACCCTAGTACGAGCCGAGGGCTCAAGGGCTGCCAAATCGCCTATAAGCACCATCCTACCTCGCACTTCCAACGAAACAAGTAATGAAGTATACTAACGACCAAAGGGAACGATAGAGTTGCGGTGAGACCATATACGTTCCAGCATTCTTGCCAGGCGTCCAGGTTCCCACTTCATAGCGTCCTTCATATGTTCGAAGCGTGGAAAGCCCATATCAGATCTGATTCCGTCGTAAACCGGACAGTCCAGCAAAATGTGTTTCTCATCCTCGATGTGGCTATCAGTGCCGCAGCAGGGGCATACTCGCTCCTCCCTAGGTATATAACGCCGTCCCTTACGCGCTCTGTTAGCCGCCAGTGCCCAACAGCAAAGCCTAAACTGCATAAGCTTGCAATTCGCCGAACGTGGGATAAACATTGTGATGTGCGGGAGCACCTCCTTCCTGCCCGCTTGCTCGGCCGCCAGCCCCATCCAATGTGCCCATGTGCAGACACACATACAGACAGGTCTGGTCTGGGTTGACATTACTGCAATTAGCGGTTTAAGGTCCTGGATTCGATCCCCGGGGAGAACCCCGAATTAGTCGGGAGCGCGAGATTATGGCTAGCTGCTGAGATGTGGAGTTGAGGTCACAGTTGATGGACCAGATTCGCACGCTGGATTGGTGGCGATTGCCGAACCCTCCGTCTCTTCGGATGTTCGGGTGAATGGATGAGGAGGGGTCCCTGAAGGCTGGATCCGCCGCCTTGGACTTACAGTTCGTATGGCGAAGTACAGTGTGGTAGTGGTGGATGGTGCTATAAGGTGATAAATCGTAGAACTGACAATGTGATAAAGCGGCCCAGAAGCCTCCCACTCTGTAACAATACAAATACAATACAAATACAAATACAGACAGACACACATACAGACACACTTTTCACGTGCACGTGCTTAGCCGATTTGCCCCTTACAAGGCAACGGGTTGCGAGGGCAGCCCGTCTACGTGACGACCAATCGCTTCCTGCCGCGCGCGGCGGGCGCAAACAAGGCAATCTCCTTCTGCAAAGTAGTTGAACACCAAGCACGGCATTACGCACATGCTTCTTATCATATGTGTACATAAACGAGATGGAAAAGCCATTATTCTGGAAGTACGCGCAGTGGCTGGGAAGGTAATCGGCATAGATTGCAGGTACGTGCGTGCGTTCGTGTGGTACGACGCCAAGAAAGCATGAGATGTGTGTGTTACACGGTCGTGGGGTGCCCTCCCCGCACCTGCAAACCGCCCAATACGAGCCGAGGCTTAAGACAGCATGAGATGTATATGTATATGTACAGATTATTCTTGGCTTCGTTGCCAGCGCTTCGTAATTAATGCCTGATTTTGATAGCCGCGTTGCCACAGAATTCTACTCAAACAAAGCATCACAGATTTTTACTTAATTAAATTTACATCAGGCAAGTCCTGAACCACATACTACTAAATCACACATCGCTGCTCGCCCCCAACCACCTCCCCCCTTTGTCGCCCATCCCAAAGATGGCACTCACCACAGCCTAGCACAGCGGGGGACTACTGCCATCCCCAATTAAGCGACACCACCCCTCTGGGTTACCCAAAGGAGATGACTCCTAACAACCGACTGAATTCCTGACTGAATTCCTTGCATCTATCAGCTAAAAAAAGCTTCAGTTCAACGCCTTCAGCAAGCCAGCCACTGCAGCTCACTCGCTCAATGCTACTGCTTCCGTTGCCACAACCTACTCTGTTGCTGGATCTGACCTAAAGAACACTCGGAATCTGGAACCGTGTTCATCACGTCATTGCTCAGTTCGTTAAAATGCACATACACACACATAAACACACACACTCTCTCTCCCGCCACTCCGCTACCATCAGCCCCAACCGCCCCCACCCTGTTGCGTCCCCTTCCTCTCCCGAGTAAGGCAGCAGCCAAGCACCTAGCTACCACAATAACCTACAGCCAGCCAGCTAGCCGTGCAGCTAGCCAACAGCTTGTCGACCAAATCCGTGTATGCATGTAGGATGTATACATGATTGATCACTGCTGGCACACAGTGACGGCAGTGCACATAAGATGTGATAAAGCGGCCCAGAAGCCTCCCACTCTGTAACATTACATTACATACATAAGACTTCTGCTCCCAGTCGACCCAGTCGACCCGGGTTCAAATCCGCCTGCCGGCTCCTCGGGTGTTTGAGGAGTGATGAAATGGGAGGTGGCCCCCCATCTTATGGACGGTGTAGGACGTGATAATATCAACTTGCGAGCTGACCAGGAACTAAGTTGATGCGCCGTTGATCCGCTAGATTTGGTTGGATGCTGGTGGTGAGTTGCTGAACCCAACGAATACATTCTGAAGTTGGATGGGGTGACGGATTAGGGTGCCCCTCTAGCAGGGGAGAGCAGGGACTGCCCCGGGAAAGGGGGCCGCTGGTGAAGTTAACCACCCTGTAACAACATACATACATAAGATGGAGAGCGCAATCGACGACTGGCACAACGAGCCAGTGATGCAGCAGAGGGCACAAATCAATCACGTGGGTTTGTCGTCACCACAACGCCACCAGCCCATTTGCTCGCGAAATGCACACAGTGATTCACGCCAGGGAGAAAGAGAGGGAGCGCGAGAGGGGAGTCACCTACACAATGGGCCGATGCAGGTGGTGGTGATGGCGAGGAGAGAAGAGATAGGCAAGGGAAATAAAAGTGGCCCAACCACCCACCCACCCACCCACCCACCCACCCAACCACCAGGAAGCAAGCCGCCGTCATCAGAACCTTCAGTGATTCTTCCACCAGTAACGTCATGATCCTAGCTAAGTCCTATTTGTCGGCGCCATCCTCTAAAACGATAAGGGGTAGGCCATGTGTGTGTATTTGTGAGCGTATGTATACGAAGGGAAAAAATAGAGAGGACGGAGAGAGAGAGAGAGGGAGAAGGCGAGAGAGGGAGAAGGCGAGAGGGGGAGAAGGAGAAAGAGAGAGGAGGAAGGAGAGAGAGAGAAAGAGAGAGAAAGGGAGGTGGGAGAGGGAGAGTATGCAGCAGCTAACGGCCTGCCTTTCCTGCACCTCACTTGCTAGCTAGGACTAACCCACCCACCCGCCAGCCTCCTCTGATATACTCCTCTCCTCACCAAGCCCCAAACGCTTAACCAGCCACCTTCACCAACCCCTCACTCGCCACTAACTACTTCACATCCCTTCACCGACCAGGTATAGCCCCTTCCGACCGACCGAGTGCACTGACGGGCGGGCAGATGCCTTGTGGCTGCAGGCTGGGCCCCAACCCCGCTTCGCCACTCTACAGAGCACGGGGGGCAGACAGCTCGCCAGACAGACACCCACCGCCCGCCAGCTTTCTCTCCACCTGCTAATGAACCACTCACTCGCTCACTGGATGCCCACCGACCACACACACGAAGTGGGCTCGTACCAGGGCCCCGGCGCACCCCCCCCCTAGCCCCCCTAGCTACGTAACACTCTTAACCAAGCCCAACCTGTAAGTCGTGAGGGAGGGCGTCTGGGCAAAACCAAGCTTGCCAGCATATCCAGTGCCAGCGTATCCAGAAGCCACGGAAAACAAAGGATATAGGAAGAGGGATATCTAATCGCCATTCACATGCCATGCAAACAACACCCACAATCCAACCTTCCACCGCGACCGTCACGGCTTACTGACGTGCTTGCTCTGCACTTTAATAACCTACACTTCTTCTCACACCCTCACACGTTTAACTGAACCTGCCGCGGTTGCTTCCGCTGCGTGCCGACGGTTAGGAAGGACAGTGTTAACAAACATACGCTACAGCTACAGCTACAGCCAGAGACTCACATGCATGCCTCCAGGGCGGCGGGGGCGGCGGTGGCATACATACATTACTAAGTTGATGCGCCGTTGATCCGCTAGATTTGGTTGGATGCTGGTGGTGAGTTGCCGAACCCAACGAATACATTCTGAAGTCGGATGGGGTGACGGATTAGGGTGCCCCTCTAGCAGCGGAGAGCAGGGACTGCCCCGGGAAAGGGGGCCGCTGGCGAAGTTAACCACCCTGTAACAACATACATACATTTGGAAGCTCCTGCAGTGTACCTCCCGCCCGGGGAAGGGGGAGGGGGGCCGTGTGTTTCTGGCCCCCCTGTAGGGCCCCTACCGCCACCTCCTATCCCCTACCCAGCCACTCATCGCCGGCGATTGCGCGCCCTGCAGGCCGTGTCAAACCCGGCTGTTTAAGCCGGTGTCATGAAGACGCCGTCGAAGCTGCGGATGACCCTTTGGAGCGACAACATGGCGTTCTGCACGTGCGTGTGTGCGTGTGTGTGTGCAGGGGGAAGGGAAAGAGGGGAGACGAGGGGCCGGTCAAGCAAGGGCAGTTAATTCCGGGCGGCAGTCAAGGAAACCAATAGCACCGATAGATACCTCACAGCAGCAGTAGCAGCAGCGGCAGCACAACAATAGCATAGGAAACCAAAACAGTGGACAGTGATTTTACAACCGGCACAGCACAGACGGCGAAACAGGGGTCAGCAAGGTCCAGTACCAGCAACCCGCAGCACCACCAGCGGCCAGTCGGAGTGACGGGGGGTGAGGGGGGGTCCACCGACTAGTAGTGGGGGGGGGGTTGAGGGGGAAATAGATAGAGGTGGGGTCCACCGACTAACGCATGTCGGCAGGCAGCAGCAGCAGACCAGTCAGCAAAGCGAGGAATTTTTTATTGATCTTTAGATACATCTTTAAGCGGCGGCCGGCATTCGGCATGCACTTTAGACAAGCGCCGGGCGGCGTATAAACAGCCTCCTCGCCGCGGGGTTCACCGGGCAGGCGGTACCATATGCATAAGGCAACAGTGGACGCCGCGAAACAGGCCACAGCGGTCCGGATGGGGCACCCCCCAGCCCCTTCTCCTCCTCCGCCTCCTCCATCACCTGTATGAGCTCCTCCTGCTTTTCTCTGCGCTCCAACGCGTGCAGCTGATGATGAGCTCCGGAACCACCCATCCGCCAAGCCAGGTTCACCTGCAAGACCACACACATACATATGTACATACACGCACGTATATATATGTATATGTATGTACGTGCGCCCTGTGCCCCGGCCCCTGGTAACGGGGGAGCCCTACCCCTCCCGCCCTGTGCCCTGTCGACATACACGGACACGAACACGAACACGGACACGAACACGGACACGAACACGGAAAGGTCCTGCTAATGGAATGCATCTGATGGAGGCGTCATCAGGTTAGAGGTTAGGAGGCGCCCACAGTGCCGCAACCCACGGTGCCACACAGGGTTAGGAGGCGCCCACAGTGCCGCAACCCACGGTGCCACACAGGGTTTCTGTGGGCGGACAGCTCTACCCCTCATTTGGGGTCGTGGGGGGGGGCGGGGGAGGAACCGGCCATAGGTCAGGAAACGGAGGCGATGTTCGTTTCAAGAGCTGCTGCCGTACATCACGTCAGAGAGCTGTCGTGCAGTACGGCATACATGGTGTTGACATGTATGGGGTTTTTCTAAGGGGCTCCGCCGGCATCTTGCTTGAGCAGCCTTTGCCTTTGCCTTTGCCTTTGGCAGCCAGATACTGCATATCCTCTTGAGTTTGTTTCTACACACGCACCTTGGCGGTGACCTCCGCGCCCGTGTCCACAAACTTGACGATCATTAGTTTGGCCACGGAGTGACGAACCTGCTTGTAAGGGAGGGGAGAAGGAAGGGTACGACGAAGCACAGACGATTGACGAGAAGAAAAAACCATTGACGGATATTCCCAGATGAGGGTAGGGTAGAGAAGGGTAGGGTAGGGTAGGATAGGGTAGGGTAGGGAAGGGCAGGGGAGGGGATATGGGTTGGTCAGGTGGGGGGTCAAATGCGATGTGGCTCCGTGATGTATATCACGTCGCGTTGGTGTTGTTGTTGTTGTTGTTGTTGTTGGTGGTGGTGGGGGGGGGTATATGTGCGGGCAGGGGGATGACGGTGAGGGGTGTGACTTGCTTTTGGCGACAAAGGGTTTAAGCTCTCTTCCTTACCCGTACCCGTACCCTTACCCCCTGTTCCTATCCTCTCTCGTTCTCTCTTGGAATTGGAAACGCCCTAGAGCCCCCCACCCTACCCTCGTCTTCGTTGCCCCGTCACTTATTCGCCAGGACAGGGTAGTTGACTGGTAGCTGACTGTACGGGTCAGGCCCCTGTGTGGATCAGGAACCCGTCAACGACGTGTGGTGGTTGCACAGTCTATACACATACACACAGACCCACATGCACCCACGCGCGCGTATACACACAGATTCTCTCTCTCTCTCTCTCTTTCACACACACACACACACACACACACATACNCGACAGACACACAAAACAGGCACGTTCCAACTGTCCGACNTTGTCATTCGGCAGCGCTGCATCCAGCGCTTCCTCATTCGTGCCTCCACCTCCTGACGGTGAGGTTGGGTGACAGGGTAGGAGCCGCCGGTGGGTGGGGAAGTGGGAAAAGAAGAAGAACGAAAACAACAACAACAACAATTACTTGTAATTACAAACCCCTACTGGTGGTGGAGAAAGTCAGACGCGGCAATCAATGCGCTTCAGAAAGACCCAGCGAGGGGACCCCCCTTGGAGATTTGGTTCCCACCACACTCTTAAGCAACCCCGGGGACAACAAACAAGGTCCGCCCATCCACCCGCCCATTCCACCTGGCCTCTGTCCAGTGCAGCTGCACAGAGGCCAAGTACAAGTTAGTTCGGGGCGAGGATTATGTGCATGTGTGCATGTGGCCCTATGCCTCCCGCGCATTCACCATGCAACCATGTAGACGGGCAGTCTAGGAGGAGATGACAGATGCTGCATCAGGGATATCTACTGACGATGGGGAGAGAGGGTACCGCAGGTACGGCATATCTCCAACGTGCCGTACGCACTTGCAGTTTGTCCAGTGCCGCGTGCGGCAGCTTCATCCTCCATCGGAGCTCCCGGGGGTTGGCCAGCAGTGGACTAGGCTTGCCAACCGACCAGTGCGGAGAGCGAGTGCGGTTGATTACGATACTGCCGCCAACCGCCAACCGGCAACGACCGAAGAAGCATCGATGATTGATCCACGCAGGGGTTATGTGGACGCGATAGGCCGGTTAGTGGATGCATGGTTAAGAGAAGAGGAATATATGGACGGGGGAGGAGCGCGAGGAGGAGGAGATGTTTCCCAAGACGTCATACCTAGGTACAGCAGAGAAGGCGCACGACATTGTACGACAGCCAGGTGTGTGGACTACGCTGCGCATCCGCAAGGGAACCCTCACTTGTACGACACTGACTGTCTAGCAGGTCAAAGACACACATACACACGCACGTGCGCTAGCTCCCGGGTGGTTTGCGCTCTCTTTCTCCGCGCATAATACCCGCGATGCGCTTCTAAACACAGCACATGCACCCCTAAGGACCTGATCATCGTGCTGCCGTCTGGAACATCGCACCCGCTCCTTCCGTCGTCTCCCCATCTACCCTCCT